AAAAAAAAACAGCATACTACAGGGACACAGCCACATTAATGTTTACTGCAGCACAATTCATAGTAGCTAAACTGTTGAACTAACCTAGATACCCTTCAGTGGATGAATGGATAAAGAAAATGTGGTGTATATACACAATGGAATATTACTCAGCAATGAAAGAGAATAAAATCATGGCATTTGCAGGTTAAAAAAAAATCTCTGCTCTAATTTTTATTATATACTACCTTTGCTAGCTTTGTGTTTAGTTTTCACAAAAAGCTGTAGCTTATTATACGTGCAATACATCAAATTGAGGAAGTTCCCCTTTGTTCTAAATATAATGAGAATTTTTTATTATGAATGTGTGTTAAGTTTTATCAAACAATTTACATGTTCATACAGGTTTTTTTCCTTCACATTGTTAATATCATGACTAATATTGATTTTCAAATGCTAATCAAACCATATTCCTGAAATAAACCCCATTTGTTCAGAGTACATTATTTTCTTTAAAAGTTTCTAGACTCAATTGTCTGTCTTTTACATCCATATTTATAATGGATGTTGATTAGAGTTTTGTTTTTTTGTAATATCCTTGTCAGATATTACAAATATATATGGGCATTATATAAAAATGATGRTGTTATATAACAATGATGATAAATTGCCTCCTTCTATTTTTTCTCAATTTGTTTAAGATTAGTGATATTTTTTTCCATAATATTTACAGAATTACCAGTGAAATGATTATCAGCCCCAATTTTCATTATTTTCAGCTTTTAAATAATTAATTTAAATTCATAAATAGGTATAAGATAATTCAGATTATCTTTACATTTGTGGCKATTTTGTGAAGTGTATTTTTCTAGGAATTTTTCCATATCATCTAATTTGTTGGATTTATTGTCAGTAATTCAGAAGCTCTCTGTTTTTTCCTTTTAATGGTGGCAGAGTTTGTAATATCCCATCATTAATTCTTGATATTAGTATTTTATGCTCCTTGCTGTTGTTTTTCTTTCTTTTCTTCAGACAGGGTCTTGCTATGTTACCCAGGTGGTCTCAAACTCCTGGGCTCAATGATCCTTCTGAGTTAACTTCCCGAGCAGCTGGCATTACAGGCACTTGACACTAACATTCCTGGCTTGTTTTTTGCTTCTGAATTGTATTAATTTTATTTTATTAATTTTTTAAATATATAATTATTTAAATTTATAAATCCATACATTACAGTTTATAACTACTTATAAACACTGAAGTTTTTTTTAATATCTTTTTTTTTTAATTTTTATGTGGTGTTGAGGATCGAACCCCGTGCATGCCAGGCGAGCGCCCTACCACTTGAGCCACACCCCCAGCCCATTTTATTAGTTTTTTATCATTCCAGGGAGCCAGCCTTTGGTTTATCGCTACCTTTTATTGTTCATGTTCTATTTCATTAACTTATTTATATACACACACACACACACACACACACACACATATATATATATATATATATTTAGTTAGTTGTAGATGAACACAATATATTTATTTTATTTATTTATTTTTATGTGGGGCTGAGGATCAAACCCAGGGCCTCTCATGTGCTAGGTGAGCACTCTGCCACTGAGATCCAGCCCCCATTAATTTCCTCTTGTTACTTCCTTATTAGTTCAAAAAAGATGTACAGGTATGTCCCAATAAAAACAAGAAAAAAAGAATGAATTTTCAGTGGATATTTTGTATGCTATATATCAGGTGGTTAATAATGTTCTGATTTGTTATTACTTACTACATTTTCATCTGCTAATTCTATCAATTCCCGAGAAAGGGCTGATATGATCTGCCTTTAATCATGCAGACATTTTCCCTTCACATATTTTAAAGATCTATTATTAGCACACGTGAATTTACTATTATCATGACTTCAATGAATTGTTCTTTTTTTTTTCTTGTACTTGGGATTATTGAATCCATGGGTGCTTAACCACTGAGCAACATCCCCAGCCCTTTTTATTTTTAATTTTGAGACGGAGTCGGGCTACATGGCTGAGGCTGGCTTTGAACTCACGGTCCTTCTGCATCAGCCTCCCAAGCCACTGGGATTATAGGCATGCGCTACTGTGTCTGTTCTTAACGCCACAAATGGTGCTCCCCGCCCCCCAACTCTGGTAATATCAAGCAAAAACTTGACAACTGCCTCCTGGGCCCTGGAACCTGGGCCGATTCTCAGCATTTGACTCCGCTGCCTTAGAGCAGGCATCCTGGGGTCCAGGTTAGTCATTCATTGAAYGAGAGCCTGGGGACCACACTGTGCAAGAAACTGGAGTGCCAATGACACGAACTGGCACCTCTTTTTCTCAGGACACTTCTGGTTCACAGGGAGCTAAGACACAGACCTAATAACCTCAAAGTCAACTAAGGCGAAAGGAGCCTACCGGGGCTGCTCCAGTAAAAGTGACAATACCATCTGAGAGACACTGGGTCATACAAAGAAAAACCAAAGTCATGGGGGAGAGGAGTGAAAAGTAGTACTGTGGCAGCTCTTTGGTTTGTGGCTGCCTCTGATGGTGACAGACTGAAAGTGTGGCCAGAGATTTGATTAGGGGGTGGATGAGTCAGTCCAAGACGTGGGTCTTGCGTGTGTTTATGTCAGGGTGTGGGTCGGGCAGGGTGGGGAGCTTGCGTCTGGTGATGAGTCACCTTAGGCTCCGTTTCCTGACTCAGGAACGCCATTTCCCCTCCAAAGCACCCTGTTTGTCTGAAGCTGAACAGTTCTAACTTCAGCTTAAGACTTCTTGTCAAGGTCTTCCTGTGGTCCAAAGTCTGCTTCCTAACTTTGTTGGCTTGTTTGGTATTTTGTAGGATAACACCCCTGGATGATGTACTGAGCCATCTGGCTCATAGCCCAGAGCCAGACATGGAATAGCTCCATGGTTCTGGAGAAGCCCCTTCCCTCCTCTAGACATGTTTCTCTTTCTTGAAATAAGAGGGACCCTGTGCAGCTGAGTGTGGGCTTCCTAGATGGCCACCGAATACACCCCCTGGGGACTCAATCAATGGTGGGGCTGCAGCTGAGGCTCAGCCACCCCTGCTCTCTCCTCACCAAATGACCTTTGCTGTTTCAAGCTGCTCAGGTGAAATGAGGATGGCAAGGGTTCCCACGCAACCTGGGTGTTATGAGAGTTAGATATGTTAACATATGTGAAGGTGCTGAGGACAAAGCCTGGCACACGGCAAGTGCGTGTTTACATATTCTGGTTTGTAGTCTTATCACACACAATGTTGATTTTAATTAAGCCACAACCTCAGCCCAGGAATACCACAGCAGGTCTCACCAGGCATCCAAGCCTCTTTAGAGGAGGCCACAAGAAGGGGGTTGGGCCTCTTAGGCATTATTAGTCATTTAGGTTTCCAGAATCATATTTTTCAATGGGCTTCCATGAAAAATGACTCACAAAGAGTCTGATCCCCACCCTGCCCCCATGTCCAGGCTGTCCCAAGAATGGAGCTCACCATCTACTTGCTGGGAGAACTKGATCTCCACCACCACCCAGGACACACCACTGAGTACAGAGGTGGTCTCAGCTACCCAAGCACCAGCTCCAGGCTGCAGCACAGGGAGGGGATCTTGCCAGCCCTGCAGCCCCTGCTGAGGAACCACAGATAGGAGATCCCCATAAATTGTCCACACTGTTGTTCAGAAATTCCTGCCTTGGCTCACAGAGCCAACATCCATGTATCAGTGCAAGCAGGTACAGCCACTGACAGGTGAACAATATGTGCCCTGTGGCCATTCAGCTCCAAAGTGCCGACGCTATCCCTGAGGAAGTGATCTGTCCTCCCACACAATTTCATGCAGTGACCCAGGTCACTGTAGCTCACGGACGGCTGTAGTGGACTTGTGTTCTTACCATCTGACACAAGAGAAAGTTGGGACCACACTCAGGTCACAGGCCTGCAGAGGAAGAGCAGCCCACCATCTCTGGCCTTTGACTGCAGGACTCTAACACTACCCAGTGTGTGGGCCTGTGAGATGCCAAAACTTCCCAATTCCTACTTTGATCAAGAGGGACCTATGTGGAAGGTCCAGGCACAGGCAATKGACAATCCCAGCATTTACAGGGTGAGGACCCAACCTCAGAACCAAGCTCTGTGCCGGACCTCCTCTGATGAAATCCCTCTGGCAGTTCAGGGCAAGGTCTGTGTCCATGTATAGGCAGAAACTAGCCTCAGGCACCAAGGTTTCAAGTACAGGGCTGGAATTCCGGGCTCTCTTGCTGCCTCATCTGGGGTCTCCTGCTCATCTACTACCCTGGAAAATCCCCTCGAGCTTTGAAAATCTCTAATAGCGCTGCAGCATCAAAAACACAATGCTGTGGCGTATCACTTTTTACCTTTTAGATTAGCAAAGAGTTAATGTTTCTATATCCAGTGTGGCAAGGGTGTAGGGACAGAGGAAAGTTTGTATATTCTAGGTGCGAGTAACAAATTGGTAGAACCTTCTTTCGAAGGGGAATATAGCAATATCTGAACAAATTCTAAAGTTGTTAACCAGTTGGTCCAAGAATTCCATTCCTAAGGAGTTACCCAAGTAGATGGCGCACATGGATATATGTACCTGTGGTACATACCAGGGCGTTTACTACAATACTGCTCGAATTAGCAAAAACAAAACCAAGATGTAATCTGAACAGCTACCTATAGGATAGAAGATTAAGATAATCCATGGTTCACGTGTAAAATACTAACCTGTTGTTAAAAAAAAGGTGCAGGTACGCATATAAAACATCTCTTGTAATTTAGTATTAGCTTCATAATTGTAAAAAACTCTACCTGATGGAAGAAAGACTGACTTATGGAAGGATGAGAGGGCYGTTTGGGATGCCAGAAGGCCTGTCTCACATTTTCAAAACCATCAAATTCAGACTTTTGGCCCTGATGTCTACATTCAGCTGGATACACACTGACCTGACAAAAATAAGCCAGTCATGGAGAAGCATTAAATGTGGATCCCACARTAAGTGTCTGTTGCTTAAAAAACAAAAACAAAAAATGTGGACCCCACCTAATATAAACTGATATTCAAAAAATAAATCTCCTAATTATTCTGGGATGGTGACAAAATGCTATTTCCTGGATTAGGAGTGAATTTGTTACATGAAAACATTAAAAACGCCATGATACTTGCAAGGTGATTGCTATGATTCAGACTTGGTTGAGGATGTCCCCTGGATGGTGGTGGTAGGAGTGGGTGGGGCCAGAGGCGGGGCCTAGTGGGATGATATTAGGTCATTACCGGCCTTGTCCAGGAAAGAATCAAGGTAGTTCTTAGTGCCCAGGAGGTGGTTGATATAAACACACGATCCTGACGCCAATACCCTCTCCGTGTTCCTGTCTTGTCCGGTGATCTCTCCCGTGTTCCTGTCTTGTCCGGTGATCTCTCCCTCTCCCGCCCTAAAGCCACCAATCAGTAGGACCTTCACAGGAGCTGGGGCTGTGTGCTTGAACTTCCACAAGAGTGAGCTAAATAAATAAACTTCTTTCTATATGAACCAGTCCTAAGTAGTATTTGATGAAGCAATGGAAAACGGAATAATACAAGTGGTTTTTTTTTTTTTTTTTTTAAAGTTTTGAGCTTTTCCCCCCTAACATACAAGTAACTTGGAAAAGTGTCATTAGCGGGAGCTTCCAGCCACCTAGAAAGCATGGCGCTCCACCCTCAACCCCGTCACCCCGTCCCCGCCCCCGCCCGCCTTTCCCTCCTTCACAGGAAATCACGGTCCCCCAATAGGTTTCAAGTGGTAACTTTGTAACTTGGTACCCTGCCTTGGGCCGTCCTCCCCCAGTGAGGAGACGCAGGCCAGGCGAGGTCCCTGGGCCCCGCGGGGCCTCGCTCACCCCATAGGAAGCGCGGTGGGAAGGTAGCGCACGAGGACGGACGTGCGTGAAGGAAAAGCAAAAAAGTCCCTGGCTGCCTTCCAGGTGGAACTCGCCGTGTCCATTTTGAAATGCCCCCAAAGTGTCCCCAACCCGTGGAGAGGCGCGCGGGGCACCATCTCTCCTCCCCCTGGCCCGGGTCGGTCCTGTGGGCCCGGGACCCGGACTTTCCCTTTCCCGCCGCCGCCGCCGCCGCCCCGGGGGCGTCCTGCCCGGGCATGCCAGGCGACCAGCGACCGGGGCCTGGCACCCCCGCCACGACCCCCAGGCCTCCTGCCCCTCGGGCGCACGTGTCCTCCGAGAACCGAAGCCGGAACTCACCCACAGCACACAGACGAGAGTCAAGGTCCTGACCCGGAGTCCTGGTGTGGCTTCCAGGGCTCGGCTGGGGCCGGGGGCGCGCACTCGCGGGGCCCCGGGGCCGCCTAGCGCGCTCCCCCCGTGGACCATGGTATTAGAGGGACTCTTGGGCTCCGTCCCCGGGCTACGATTGAGAGCTGGCTGCAGAATCTTCCGCGTTTTTCGTCCACTTGGAAATGTCGCCCCGTCTGGCTGCGCGCGCTGCCACCTGCCTTCGGTCCCGCCTCTGCGCTCTTCTAGGCGCTTCTGGCAACTGCTGGAAGGAAGGCACGTCGCTCCGAGTCTCCGGTCGCTTTTCCGCGCCCCCAAGCTCCGCCCAGGTAGCGGAGGAGTCAGGCTGTAAAGTCTTTCCACTGTTGCATCCAAAAAAGTCTGTATTTCCATATAAATTTTATATAGAATAAAATCTTCAACTTAAAAAAAGAATGCTGGGTTTTTTTTTTTTAAACTTAAACTAAAAAATTTGGGAGGGTGGGGGCTGGGGATGTGGCTCAAGCAGTGGCGCGCTCGCCTGGCATGCATGCAGCCAGGGTTGGATCCACAGCACCACACACAAAAAAGGATGTTATGTCCGTCGAAAACTGAAAAATAAATATTTTTTAAAAATTTATTTTTTGGTTGTAGAGGAACACAAAACCTTTATTTTATTTATTTTTATGTGGTGTTGAGGATCAAACCTAGTGCCTCATAGTGCAAGACAAACACTCTACCACTGAGCTACCACCCTAGCCCCAAGAATGCTGGGTTCTAAATTGGGATAGCATTGAATACAGATATCAATGTGAAGAATTAGCATTTAACCATTTTGGGGTCTTATAATTCATCAAAGATTTATGTATTTCTATCTTCTTAAGTTTGACCGTGTTTTGCAAACTCTCAGTGAAAATATTTTACAAGATTGAGTCTTGCACATCATTTTAAAGTGTATTCTTAAATATATATTTTTTTATTTGAAAATTTTTTTTCTAATTATAATGACAGTAGAATGCATTTTGACACACAATACATAAACGGAGTGTAACTTCTCATTCTTCTGGTTGCACGTGATGTAGAATTGCTATTCTTAAATATATTTAATGTTATTGTTAGCAGAATTGGCTTAGATTCTTTTGTTTTAAAATTGGTGTTTTTACTCCTACATGCAAGTTCAATTGATGGCAAGGCACAGTTGCACGCCTATAATCCCAGTGGCTTGGGAGGCTGACACAAGAGGATCCCAGTTCAAAGTCAGCCTCAGTAGTGGTGAGGCCCTGTCTCTAAATAAAATACAAAATAGGGCTGGGGATATGGCTCAGTGGTTAAGTGCCCTTGAGTTCAATCCTCAATAGCAAAAAAAAAAAAAAAAAGTACAATTGTTTTTTGTGCATTGGTCTTGTATTCTATGATCTTGTTAAATTTGTATATTATTTCCAGTTTTATTTTGTAGATTCTTTAGGATTCTGTGTATAAGCAACCATACTCTGTGTTGCTGGAAACAGCCTTAGTTTTCTTTCTCCCTCAATCTTCACACTTTTTTCATCTTGCTTAATTGCCCTGCCTAGGACTTTCAGTGTTACATGAAGTGGTTGAAGCAGACATACTTGTCTTATTTCCAGTCTTAGAAGGAAAGCATCCAATATCACTGTTAGATAGGATGCTCATTATCAGGTTAAATTCCCTTTCATCCCTAGTTTGTTAAGAATTGTCATCATGAACAGTTGTTGAAATTTGTCAAATGATATTTTTCTGCATCTGTTGAGATGATTTTGTAGTTTTCCTCTCTTATGCTATTAAAATAATCAATGAGTTTGTCTTTCAAATGTTATATCCACTAAATTTCACTTATGATGTATTATGAGCTATTACTACCTTTTTCACATATTGCTAGATTTGACTTGGTAAGGTTGCCCCCCCCCCACCTTTTCTTTTTTTCTTTTTAACAAGACTGAGAATTAAAACTGACGGGGGGAGGGGGTCTGGGGGGGCACTCTACCACTGAGCATATCCCCAGTCCTTTTTTTAAAAACATATGTTTTATTTTGAGGGCTGGGGTTGTGGCTCAGCAGTAGAGTGCTTGCCTAGCACATGCGGGGCCCTGGGTTCGATCCTCAGCACCATATAAAAATAAATAAGCAAAAGGTATTGTGTCCAATCACAACTAAAAAATAAAATATATTTTTTTAAAAAACATATGTTTTATTTTGAGACAGGGTCTCTCTAAGTTGCCCAGGTTACCCTGGAAATTTAGATCCTGCTGCCTCAGCCCCCCGAGTTGCTGGGAATACAGGCATGTGCACCATGCGCAGCTGGCAGTACTTTAAGAATATTTTTTTGTCTAAATTCATGATATTGAATATAGAATTATCATTTTCTCTACTATTTTATATCAACTACCTTTTATATCATTGTTCCTATGAATGCACAAAAAATGTTTTATGTACCAAACTTCCTCTTTACCGTGGACTGTAATGTTCCTGGGTAGCATTTTTTTTTTATGTTTATCTTTCTTGGGGGAGAGGGAGTTTCCAAGTTTCTCAAATCTGTGAGTTGATGTTTTTCACTGCATTTGAGAAAATACCACCCCTTTTTTTTTTACCCTTCCCCTTTTTTAGCCACTTCTTGGTGTCCATTTCCACATGTAATGCATATTTTTCTGTAGGTCACTGAGATACTTTTCCTTCATTTCTTTCAGTTCCTTTCTCCTTTCGATTTAAAAAAAAAAAAAAAACTCTCTTCCAGCTCACTTTCTTCTGCTATGTTTAATTTCTCTTATGATCATCCAAGTGAATTTTTCATATCAAATTGTGGAATTTGGGGTTCTAAAATGCCCATTTGGTTCCTGTTTTACATCAGGAACTATATGTTGAAATAGTCCATTTTCCCTTCATGTTGACTGGATTTTTTTGTTTGTTTTTGTTTTGCAGAACCCAACACAACACTGAGTTGTTTAGCACCTCGCTTTTGCTGAGGCTGGCTTTGAACTCGCTGCTGGTGTGTGCCACCTCACCTGGACCAACATATATTTTTAAAACTCCTTCAAAGTGATTCTCTTGTGAATCAGCACTCAGAACCACTGGAAGGGAGAGACTTTACCTGGAAGGAAGACATATTTGACCAGGAAAAGAGCAGACAGTGTTTATTAGTCCCTTGCTTATAATACTTTTTTAAGAATTTATTGATCATTGATTATGTACCAATCATAATGTCTACAAAGGTTAAAATACGTAGAACCTGCTCCAAGAGACTTGCACTTCAGTAGGGAAACAGTAAAACGGTTATAATAAAATGGAATGTTGACTGGGTGTATTAAGATGTTCATATCCCTATGAGCTTGTATTTTGCTTTAGAGGAAAAAAACATGCTTAGAATAATCAGGAAAAAGGAACTAAAGGAGAAGAGAAAGGAAGAAAATCAGGAGGGGCTAGGGTTGCAGCTCAGTGGTAGAGTGCTTGCCTACCAGGTGTGAGGCCCTGGGTTCAATTCTCAGCACCACATATAAATGAATAAAATAAAGGTCCATTGACAACTAAAAATATATTTAAAAATTACTCAGGAGAATTTCTCAGACTTTTTTTTACAAAGACAACAGGGGAGATGACATAGACAACAGTAGAAATTTTAGCCTCCAACACCTACAGCTACATAAACAATAAACATACCTTCCAAGCCAGATGAACATAAAACCTCATGCAAAAGTTCTCCTTAGCTCAGGTCCTTTACCCAATTCATTTTTTCAACAAAATTATGTAAAAATAGTAAAGACACCACGTGGGCTCTCTCTCATCCAGCTAGGAGGTCCACGGAACAGGGTAGAGGAAAGCACAGCGTGGCTGCAGAGTCGCTAATCAAGACTTCCGGAGACCAAGCAGGAAGCAGGTCTGATTTTATTGCACAGTTACCATGTACATATACTCAGGCAGTAGCTGAGCAGACTACAGGCAGCCACCAATGCAGTTTCTGCTAACGGTCCTTGTATTGAGAAATCGAGGTTCAGGCAGTGGAGCAACCGCAGGACTGCAACACATGGCCTCACACCCAGGGCTGTGCCTACGGGTAAGTGGCCTGCCGCTCACGTGCTCAAATGGAACCACCATTTGACCCAGGTATCCCATTTTTAGGTTTATACCCAAAGAACTTAAAATCAGCATATTACAGTGATGAGGCCACATCCATGTTTACAGCATCTCAACTCACAATTGCTAAACTGTGGAGCCGACCTAGGTGCCCTGCAACAGATGAATGGATACAGAAAATGTAGTATACATACAAAATGGAATATTATTCAGTCTTAAAGAAGAATGAAATTATGGCATTTTCAGGCAAATGGAGACTATCATGCTAAGCGAAATAAGCCATTCCCCAAAATCCAAAGGCCAAATGTTTTCTCTGATCTGTGGATGCTAACTCACAATAAGGGTGGTGGTGAGGGAGGCGTGGGAAGAATAGAGTTACTTCAGATTAGGTAGAGGGGAGTGAAGGGAAGGGAAGTATATGGGAGTAGGAACATAGTAGACTGAATCAGACATCATTATCCTATTGTATATGATCGTACATCATGTACAATCAGAAAAATGAGAAATCATACTCCATTTATGTATGATACATCATGGTGCATTCTGCTGTCATGTATAACTGATTAAAACAAAATTTTTTTTTTTTAAAAAAAGAACAGTGGACGGGCTGGGGTTGTGGCTCAGAGGTAAAGTGCTCAACTAGCAAACATGAGGCACTGGGTTTGATCCTCAGCAGCACATAAAATAAAATAAAGGTATTGTGTCCAGCTATAAATAAAAAATAGATATTAAAAAAGAACAGTGGAACAATTTTAGAAGGAGTAACATGTAATGGATACCTTGGAAGGAAAAAAAAGGTGTGTTGTGGGGGCAGAACAGAAGCAAAATCAATGATTAACACCAGCTTGCAGATCTATGAAATTGAGCAAATAGCAAACAAGAGGGGAAACCCGCCCGCAAACCACACGTGGACATTCCTCAAGCTGCACATAAACAAAGAAAAAGAAAATCTTGAAAGAAGACAGAGATGTACAAGGCCCTGAGCTAGATTCCCCTCTGGGGGTGGGCGGGGGATGGAAATTGAGAGAAAAACCATCTTTCTGCATAAAGCAAAGAAAAGAACATTGTGCTTCTATTGAGGAAAGTATGCAAGCAGGAGGAAGGCTGAGTGAAAGGATGAAGGTCTAGAAGAAAAAAAAAATCTACCAACATAGAATTCAGTATCCAGGAAAAATATGAAAC